GGCACCTGAGACAAAGAGCCTAGTTGGTTGGCAAGGCCTTAGGCCATGACTCTAAATACAAACAAGAAAGAAAAAATAAAATAAAAAAGAGTACAGCATGTACTGGTGAATCTGCTAAAGTCTGAAGCCACAAAACTAGCAAAGAATTGACCATGCAGATTCCTGCCCTATAGGTTACAACTCTGGCTGTTCACTACAATCACCTGAGTTTTTTTTAAAGCATATGGATGCTGAGTTTATACTTAGTGTTTCAGTCTCAATTAGTCAGGATGGTGTAGGGAAACTGTAATTTTTTAAAACTTTAGATAATTTTATTGTGAAGAAATTGCAAATCGCTGCATAAAGCCACTGCATAAATAATCCCTGTCTTTCTTCCTTTGCTGACCTCTCTGATTCAAAAGAAGCTCTATTCTCTGCTAAGGTAATGCCAGTAATAAGTATTCTTTAGAAAAACCAGAATCAAGACCATAATGTTAAGTGAAATAAATCAGACACAGAACCTTAAATAGTACATGGTTTTTCTTATATGAGAAAAAGTAATTTAAAAAGCAAAACAAAAGAGAGTGTTAATTAGAGAGATTGATCTTTTTGAAAATGGAAAGGAATACAGAAATGGAGGAAGGGGAAGGAAGACAAGGGGAAAGAGAAATAAAAAGAATTAAGATTATTATGTAATGTACCAACTCCCTACAATAAATGTAATCACTATGAACTGCAAACGTACTAATAAAAAAAACTCAAATCAGATAACAGTAAAAATGTCATATCTTTATTTTGGCATCAATACCCATATCACTTTTAGAAGCCTCATTCCTATTCTACAGCTGGAAAACAAAAGTTGGTAGACACTGTCCTACTTTAGGACACCTTCAGTCAAACTCAAATATCACTATTTCAATTACAATCTGGGTCAAAACTTTCTCAAACTGCCTTCAATCCAAATTCTCATTGAATTTTCAGGGAGGAAATTTCATTCTTGACACCTTCTAAGGCAGTGGGGTGAGATGGGGCTTGTGAACAGAGGGAAGTGTAAGAGCTGATTTCAGTCATTTCTCTGCCAATTCCAGCTGCCAGTGTCACTATCTAGTCTGGTCTCCTTAAGGACTCAGTACTCCCTGGATGCCTCTGGTGTCCTGAGATTTACATCTGCTTCATTCATCCACACAATACTGGCCTACCTGGAGCCATTACTGCTGGGACTTCTTCATGCCCACCCAAACTTCATAATAAGGCCTGGAACATGGAGATTACAATCTAAAGTCTAAATTTCAGAGGGTTTTTAAAAATGATCTATTAACCAAGAGTGAGGCCAAGCCTTAGAATTTCCTCTTTAAAAATCTCAACTTTGTTTATGGCAAATAATGATTTAATTCTTAATGACTTTGAATTATAAATATGTTCAATACCACAAAACAAAAATTGATTGTTTACCAATCATTCTTCTGAGATTAAAATGCAAGTGTAAAACAGTTTAAAATAGGATTCATCCCCAATGACTTAAAAAATACTCCAACTGAAAGACATTTCAAACACTGTATGTAGAACTCAAGACCAAAATAACCTTAAAATATTTTTACCCTTGAGGTAGCACAATAATGCTGAACTAGGTATCATTTATTACAAGCTTAAAAACAATGAGGACGCTACCCTTCAATCAAGACAAGCTAAGTGATTTTCTGCAACTCCCTCATGAGGTTAGTGACAGCTATCTTACTATTTTTTAAGGTATAAAGATAGCTCTGCCCGTGTATAAAAGGAAACCCATGGGAAGGCTGCTTCCCATAAAATAGATATTAAAATCACTGAGGAACATCAGCAGTTAAGAGCAGAGGAACAAGAGGTACTAATGGTAAACAATCAAAACAGCTTGTATCTTGGCAAGATTGATTTTACAAATATATGTCAAAAAGAAAATTCCAGTATCACCCCACTGAAAACAAAAGATAAAAGATGACATCCATGGGTCCTTTTCTTTTGTCTCAGTGCAAAATACTTCCACTTTTTCAAAGAGAGAGAAGATTATACTCCGTGACACGACACAACACGCTGTGTCCATGGTGCCTGCCCAGAATGTGAGCACTAGGGATGAACACCATCTCTCCTGGCTGGAGGACTACTTCCCACTTTGCTGCTGAATTCACTCACTAAGAAAAGCTCTCTTCTGGTTTCTGAGATTATACAGCAATTATATATCATATAATCTATATGAAGACCACGGACCAAGAAGACAAGAACACACAAACCTTTCCTTCAGCAAAGTCAGCCAAGAAGAGAGTGAGAAAAACAGGGCCAAAAGGATGTCAAGCATAAGCCTCTCAAAAACATTCTGTGCCATCCAAACTCAACAACAAAGAAAGGAAAGTGGGCATAAAGCTCCAACCTTTCGAAGAAAACAAGAAGCAACAAAGGAATCTCTTTCCAACATGCAGTCCTCCCTGTGAGGCTCAGCTGTCAATGTTGGACTTGCTTGGCACAATGGGGACACCTCAGGCCTCAGTCAAACTTGGTCTGTCACCTTTGATTCACCAAGCTGCAAAGGGAACTGGAACATTATGATAATCACTTTGCTCTCTCTCATTCATGCTTCTCCCTTTAACATCTCCTTCCTTCAAGTTAGGGGGCCACCCTCTTACTCCTCTGCCCCAGGGGACTCACATGCAGTGAGGGTCTGGATTGATGGGGCTATGTCTAGTTGGAGTTAGAGGACATGAACATGATGAATTCTAACCTGTAAAATGGTAACCATCAATGTGGCAGGGTGTCAAGTTCTTTGTGAAAGAAAAAACATAGTGAGCCGGGCGTGATGGTGCACACCAATAATCCCAGCACTCGGGAGGCTGAGGCAGGAGCATGCTGTGAGTTCGAGACCAGCCTGTGGTACATAGTGAGTTCCAGATCAGTCTCAACTACATAGTGAGACCCTG